ATGGGAGTTTTGCCTGAGCAAGGACCGAGGAAGAACAGCTGGGGGGGGGGGGGTGTCAGGATTTAGCCCAATGAGAACACAAAGCTCCCAGCTTGTGGCATTTGTTATCACCATGAGTTTCTTCTCTCCCCCCCCCCCCCCCTTTTGTAGCCTGGTTCCATCCTGCAAACTCGCAGCACGTCCCATTAGAGGAGACAAGTTCCTACTCTGGCTGGGATCAGGCACCAGCACTGACTGGGGAAGGGGGTGTGTGCAGGGCAGGGCACCAAATCAGGCCCCCTTGGAGTCTGATCCCTCCCGGGCTTGTTCCTTACCAGCGCTTGGTCCCCTGATGTCTCTCAGCAGCCGCTTGGTCAACTTCTTCCCATAGGGCTTCCCATAGCATCTGACCACCAGGTCACTGAGCTCAATGGAATCCGCAGGTCTTAGCCAGCCCCGGCGGATGGGTTCATAGCCCTCCTTCAGGGGAGTTTCTTCCAGTACATTTTTGAATTTTGTCAACTCCCGCTCCCCCAGGCCATCCAGCAGACAAACTGGCCTTCCCCACCCCATGCTGCTCCCTCTGACAGCTGTTGGCCAAGACAACCTGGACTGGAGCCGCAGCGGAAGCAGCAGGAAACAATTTCACCTAGAGAGCCAGAAGGGAGAAGATTTACCACACCCTGCCCCTGCCACGTTCCCATTAGGGCTGTGGGTGATCAGGCAGGATGTTTGTTTAAGCTTCGCCTATTTGCATGAGCTGGCCCCTTGAGGTCAGGGTGCACTGACTTTGTAGGCAGGATTTCTCAGCCTTTTTCTCAGAGCTTTCACCCTCCCACATGCTATAAAAACTCCCCGGCCACAGCAACTCTTTTTCCACATATTTAAGTCAGGGCTGGCATTAGAGGGCAGCAAGCAGGGCGATTGCCTGGGGCCCCACACCACAGGTGGCCCCATGAAACTAAATTGGTCAGGCTTCGGCTTCAGCCCTGGGTGAGAAGGCTTCAGCTCCCTGCCCTAGGCCCCAGTGACTTTAATGCCAGCCCTGTTTGGCGGACCCCCTGAAACCTGCTCGCAGCCCCCCAGGGGGCTCAGATCCCTGGCTGAGAACTGATGCACTAAGGCAGGGGTCCCAAACTGTGCACCGCAGCCCAAAGATGGGCCACGACACCAGCCAGCGTGGTCTGACAGTGCAACTACATTCTCCAGTCAAAAAGAAAAGGAGTACTTGTGGCACCTTAGAGACTAACCAATTTATTTGAGCATGAGCTTTCGTGAGCTACAGCTCACTTCATCGGATGCATACCGTGGAAACTGCAGCAGACTTTATATACACACAGAGAATATGAAACAATACCTCCTCCCACCCCACTGTCCTGCTGGTAATAGCTTATCTAAAGTGATCATCAGGTTGGGCCATTTCCAGCACAAATCCAGGTTTTTTCACCCTCCACCCCCCCACACAAATTCACTCTCCTGCTGGTGATAGCCCATCCAAAGTGACAACTCTTTACACAATGTGCATGATAATCTCCAGTCAAGCTCTTAGTAAAGCTTGAACTCCACGAGACTTGTGTAATCTATGTAAAAGTTATGTAAATGTGATGTTTTGAGCTATATATGTTGGACAGAGTGTAGAAAAAAGGTTTATTTTTATGTGTTTATTTATATAAACCAAGCGGCAATATGTCATGTTTAATTCTCATGAGTACAATGGTGCATTTTACTGCAACATATACATGGAGTCCACCATTTATAACTGCAGAAAACAGCAAGCAGTATTTCAATCTGACAGTGCTTCCTCAGCTCTCGTCCCCTATTGCCCCTACTCTACTTGCGCTCTATTGATGACATCTTCATCATCTGGACCCATGGAAAAGAAGCCCTGGAGGAATTCCACCATGATTTCAATTATTTCCATCCCACCATCAACCTCAGCCTGGACCAGTCCACACAAGAGATCCACTTCCTGGACACTACGGTACTAATAAGCGATGGTCACATAAACACCACACTATACCGGAAACCTACTGACCGCTATTCCTACCTACATGCCTCCAGCTTTCATCCAGACCACACCACACGATCTATTGTCGACAGCCAAGCTCTACGATACAACCGCATTTGCTCCAACCCCTCAGACAGAGACAAACACCTACAAGATCTCTATCCAGCAGGTGGGTATTGAAGTTGTAAGAACACTTAAGTGAAGAAACAGATTGACAGAGCCAGAAGAGTACCCAGAAGTTACCTACTACAGGACAGGCCCAACAAAGAAAATAACAGAACGCCACTAGCCATCACCTTCAGCCCCCAACTAAAACCTCTCCAACGCATCATCAAGGATCTACAACCTATCCTGAAGGACGACCCATCACTCTCACAAATCCTGGGAGACAGGCTAGTCCTTGCTTACAGACAGCCCCCCAACCTGAAGCAAATACTCACCAGCAACCACACACCACACAACGAAAACACTAACCCAGGAATCTATCCTTGCCAACTGTGTCCGCATATCTATTCAGGGGACACCATCACAGGGCCTAATAACATCAGCCACACCATCAGAGGCTCGTTCACCTGCACATCTACCAATGTGATATCTGCCATCATGTGCCAGCAATGCCCCTCTGCCATGTACATTGGCCAAATTGGACAGCCTCTACGTAAAAAAATAAATGGACACAAATCAGACGTCAAGAATTATAACATTCAAAAACCAGTTGGAGAACACTTCAATCTCTCTGGTCACTCGATTACAGACCTAAAAGTGGCAATTGTTCAACAAGAAAACTTCAAAAACAGACTCCAATGAGAGACTGCTGAATTGGAATTCATTTTCAAACTGGACACCATTAGTTTAGGCTTGAATAAAGCCTGGGAGTGGATGTGTCATTACACAAAGTAAAACTATTTCCCCATGTTTATTCCTCCCCCCCACCCCCCAACTGTTCCTCACATGTTCTTGTCAATTGCTGGAAATGGCCCACCTTGATTATCACTACAAAAGGTTTTTTGGTTTTTGTTTTGTTTTTTTTTCCCCCTCTCCTGCTGGTAATAGCTCACCTTACCTGATCACGCTTGTTACAGTGTGTATGGTAACACCCATTGTTTCATGTTCTCTGTGTATATGAAATCTCCCCACTGTATTTTCCACTGCATGAATCCGATGAAGTGAGCTGTAGCTCACGAACACTTATGCTCAAATAAATTTGTTAGTCTCTGAGGTGCTACAAGTCCTCCATATAAACTTGTATTACTGATGTAAACATACTAAGTGGAAACCATTAAGGGTGCTTCAGAATCAATGAATTGTGAATGGGTTTATTTACCTGCAAGCCTTCCTGTGTACATGTGGGCCAGCCTGTGAGTAAATCTGCAACTTTGTTTTGTGTCCAACACAATTCTATACTCTTTCACACACCAGATGAACTGCTATAAAAATGTATAAGAATTGGAGGAAATGGCACGCCTTGGATCATGGCGGCCTTCCCAGAACTGTCTCTTTGGAACAGAGGATGGAGCTCTCAGGACACCAGAGACAAAAGACTAATGACATCACAAAGTGGAGTTTCGCATATTTGCAATTTGGAATCTTTCAATAATCCTGAGCCCTGTTTGGCTATGGTGTGGTATTCGTGGACTCCCCACACTTTGTGACTGGACTGAACCCCAACTGACCATCTGGACTTCTGACGGAAGTGGACTGTGGCATAGTATGTTTGGGGTATGAATGTGAAGTGAATGAGGTTCATTTTGTAAGCAATAAAGAGTATTCGGAGTATTATATACCAACTCTGTGTCCGGTATCTGCCTGCTCTCCCATCCCGTAGGGAGGCCCCTGCTGCGGACCTAACAACAAATATCTGTGTATGGGGTATCTCTGTGTCTGTGTCTAGTGTGTTTGTCAGTGTGTGTGCATGGGTCTGGATGTGTGTGTGTATGGTATATCTGCGGTGTAACTGAATGTGTGTGTGTCTCTGTGTTGTTCTGTGTGTGCAACTATCTCTGTGGGTATATGTCTGTGTGTCCCTGGGTCCATGTGTGTGGTGTGTCTTTGTGTAACTGTTTCTGTGTGATGTGCGTAACTGTGTGTGTGCATCACTCTTGCCACCCCTCCTTGCAGCCTCCTCTCCCTCTGCTGCCCCATCTGCTCTCACCTTCCCAGCCAGGGCACAGATGCTCTTTGCCCTTGTTACGAATTACACCTGGTAGGACACGCACACAAATGCTACAAATTACACCTGGTAGGACACGCACAGTTCGAATCTAGGCTGAGGCACATAAACAAAGTCCACAACTGCAGAGTTCCCAAAAGACACTAAGTTTATTACGCTCGAGCGTGGTGCCTCCCTGCTAGCCAGGTTATACAAAGGTTATATACCTCTTAGCAAAGCACGTTGCCCTCGTGCATTGGAAACCTTAGCCAATAAACAAACCCTTTTCTTATCTACCACCTATCCCTGCTTGGTGCATTCCTCGTGCTAAACTAGTATGTTAATTACACAGCATGGTCCGAAAGCCATGCATCAGGAACTTTTATTATCAGGATGGGAGGCCTCACATCACAGGCCAGGAGATAGGGACTTAGAGACAGACAAAGAACAGATACCAGGAGTCAAGGCAGGCTGGAGACAAGGAGGAGGATTTTCACAGGATTTGTCTAAGAAACACTCCTCCTGGTGCATGATGGGCTTGCTTTTAGACAATGGTGGGCCCCAAACCAAAATGGAGTCACATGTGCTAACTTTTCCTTAACACCCTCCCAATCTCCATGCCCATGAGTGTTTGAATAACACAGGGCAACAGGAGTGAATCTAAGCCCCCTGCTGCCCCCCATAGCAGCAAAACCCCTGACCCCACAAAAGGACCACAAGAATCAGGAGCCAGAGCCGGAGCAAAAATGTTTATCTTCTAACTGAGCCCAGCCCAGTGTTGCAGAAAGGAAGAGGGCGGGACTCAGCTGTATAAGAGGCGCCGGTGGCTAGAGTTTGTTTTATTTTCCCTTTTGACATGCTTTTCCTTCCTCCTCCATTGTCTCAGAGCAAAAAGAGGCAGCGAACAAAGACACAGAGAAATCACTCCATGGCTGATTGAGTACTACACGGAGAAAGAGGCGATGCGAGTGGCCATGAAGGTCCTGAGGGCCAGGGACAAGAAGGACCTGGCAGACAAACTACTCCAGGCAGCAAGGACAGGTAAGTGGGGAGCTCTCAAGAGGCGATTGTCCGCTCCCTAAGGGGGATCTTGTCTTTGGGTCTCCTTGTACAGGAACTGCCTGGTTACCGGCCTGCCGAGCAGAGAAATCATAGTGTGAAGGGCAGAATTATGCAGTTCCTTCCCAAGCAAGACTGTCTCTGGGTGTCATGTATCCACAGGGGTTTAGACACCTAGTTCCCCAGCTGAGCTCCTCAAAGCGAGTTAGGGTCTTCCATTGTACCACCAAGGACCAGTATTTGACAGTTTGCTTCTCCCAGCCCGACCCCCATCTCTTACTTCTTCTTTCTCTTACTTCTCCTTTCCCAAATGGGAAATTAACCCCTTCACACCCAGTGGGGAATCACTGCATCCTGAGTGAGGAAACAGAGTCACGCCTTTTTTTTAAAAAAAAATATTACAGCAATTTCCCACATGTGCTACACAGGGAAATTCTGTATCAGAGAGAGGCATGCACCAGAGACAGACCTAACATCTGGGGGGACGGGGCGGAGGAGAGAGACACAGGACAGATCTATTCATACTGAGAAAGAGGGAAAGAGAAAAGGGGTGTTGGAAAGGGAGGATGAGGGAGAGAAGAAGGCCTGTGTGTGGGGCGAGATAGATGTGGGGCTACTCACACTCTGAGGAAGGAGTCCGACATCCAAGGAACGTTATTTCCTGCTCCACCAATCCAACAAGGAAGCAAACATTCTCCCTCTTATGGGAGAGGGTTTGTTTCTGTCTCTCCCCCACTCACCAATTCCTCGTTGCAACATCCACTGCCTCAGCTATGGCTCACCCCAAACCTTCTCCTGATACCTCCCAAAGCCTGTCCATGTGGGGGATCCCGTCGATGGGGGAGGCAGGAGGCGTGGGGAGCGCAGGCTGCTGGAGTGGGGGGATTTCAGGAGGTGTCATAAACATACAGCTAAGGGTAGCATAAAATCCCTCCTTTACATGTAAGGGGTTAAGAAGCTCAAATAACCTGGTTGGCATCTGACCAAAAGGACCAATAAGGGAAGAAGATCCTTTAAAATCTGTGGGGGGAGGTTTCTTGTTTGTGTTTTCTTTGTTGTTCTCTCTGAGACAAAGAGAGAGACCAAGCAAATAATCCAGCTCCTACTGAAATGATACATCTAAAATTACAGAAAGAGTAAGTAATAGCAAGGAAATGTTTTAGAGTATCTTTTGTTTTAGCTTGTGAATTTTCCCTATGCTAAGAGGGAGGTTTATTCCTGTTTTTTTGTAACTTTAAAGTTTTGCCTAGAGGGGAATCCTCTGTATTTTAAATCTTATTACTCTGTAAAATTACCTTCCATCCTGATTTTACAGAGGTGCTTCTTTTACTTTTTTCTTTATAATAAAGTTCTGTTTTTAAGAATCTAATTGGGTTTTTAGTGTCCTAAAAACCCAGAGATCTGGTTGTGCTCACCTTGTTTACCTATTTGGTTGGTATATTATTCTCAAGCGTCCCCAGGAAAGGGGGTGAAGGGGCTTGGGGGGATATTTTGGGGAAACAGGAACTCCAAGTGGTCCTTTTCCTGAATCTTTGTCTAACTCATTTGGTGATGGCAGCGATACCGTCCAAGGACAAGGAAGAATTTGTGCCTTGGGGAAGTTTTTAACCTAAGCTGGTGGAATATAAGCTTAGGTGGTCTTTCATGCGGGTCCCCACATCTCTACCCCAGAGTTCAGAGTGGGGAGGGAACCCTGACAGGAGGGATCCCAGAAGGGGCAGAGACTGCTCCGGTCCCTTTCTGAGTGAGCTCCCTGTTGTCTCCCAGCAGGTGCAGCAGCCCCCATGCCCAGGGAACACAGGGCAGGCTCAGCCAGGGATGAAAGCTCAAGTCAGTCCTGGGACCAGACACTAGGGTTGCCAACTTTCTAATTGCACAAAACCAAACATCCTCGCCCCTTCCCTGAGGCCCCACCCCCACTCACTCCATCCTCCCTCCCTCCGTCACTCACTCTCCCCCACCCTCACTTTCACCGTGGACCCGCCGCTGGACTCATGGGCTGTGGTGGCCTTGCCTCTTCCCCTCCCTGCTCCGCCCCTTCCCCGAGGCCCCCACCATTGCCACATGTACTGTACCAGGACAATACTGACCAGCAAATTATATGTTTGTATAAGGCATACTTTGTACCAAGATTATTACAGTAGTGTGTAGGGTGTGAATACAGGGCTGTATTCTGTCATGTACATTGTGAACATTTCCTTTATAACCATAACAGCTAGAGACTAGCTTTGAAAAAATGGAAGCTGTGACTCTGAAAAACAATTTGGAGGTCAGTCTGCACCTTCACCTCCATTGTACTAGTTCTTTATCCTGCCATCCTCAGCAGGACACGCCCCACACTCCGGGAAACACTGGGTTGATAGCACTATGGGAGCAGAGTTAAGGATGAGTGTGACGCTGGTCACCGAGAATGTTTCTGTCCCGTGCTCTTTGCCAGTGCAAGGGATGTTCAGGTTGGTTTCAGATTCTTCCATCACCTTAGCTTGTGGCTTCCATCACCTTAGCTTGTGGCTTCCATCATTTTCAGTGTTTGTTACTGCTGTGTTCAATGGTAGCACCCTCCTTTGAAATGCACTTGGCAACCTCAACTGTAACGTAACATTTTTGTCCATTTTCAGAGGAAAAAGCTGGTGCCTCCCAGATGCAAACTGTCCACATTGTTGATGGGGGCATGACCCCGGAGAAGCCAATGCGGGTGAGGCCATTCCAAGCTGTACTGGAGAATCCCAGCTTCTCCCTGACTGGACTTATTTTGATCTCTTCTACATTTACGTTTATTCCAATGTACTCACTGGTGCTGCTGTATTGGGCATTCAGGGCCACAGTCAGACCCCTCCACCTCTACCGGATCCCCAAGAACCGTTCAGTAGAAAAGGTAAATAAGAGGCGATAGCAATATGCAATATAGGGAGTCAAAGTCAGCAGCCCCAGCAGGGCAAGGCATAAGGGCTATCTCCATGCCGGGCAGGCAGCTGGTGTGTGATAACTGAGCCTCTTTGTGTAACAAAAAAATTTACATGAATTCACGAAACATTTCAGTGTTGCTGCATCGGCATTTTTCACCGAAAAATGGTTCAGTCGAAATTCACCCTGTTCTAACTGGAATTCGCAGCATTCCCTAAACCTGCTGAATAGAAGCAAGGAGGAAAGAAATAACGTGTGTGTGTGTGTGTGTGTGTGTGTGTGTGTGTGTTTTTCACTGGATCTCCCATAAATGACTGTGCTAGACCTTTCACAGACAGTTGAAGAACACGAGATGTGCCAGTCAATTTCTTTGGACAAGCCTCCCCAGACCCATAGGTCCCTGCACTTTGGAACTCATCCTGGCGTGCCCAGTGTATCGGATGCCGTGATAAATCCATGGATGTAGTGTGGTCCTTGAGAGAAGCCCCATTAAGTTTAAGTCTATGGGCTGCCTGCACTAGCTGCCAGTTGCAAATGGCCTTCAAGGGTAGCCACAAGTTGAGCACCTGGCAGGAAGCCAGTCTGGGGGTGATTTGGGGGTGAGATCCTGAATGTTAGAGGGAAAGTTGCCAAAAACAAATAAAAAATGCTGCGAGAGCATTGCTGTGAAACTGTTAAGCAGCTGCTGTACGCCGACCCAGAGGTGGCTGCATTTCTGTGGTGGGTGAAGTGATCCCTGCCTTTAACTGGCATTATGCAATAGTTGCAGCTGTGTCAGTCCCAGGATAGTAGAGAGACAAGATGGGTCAGGTAATAGCCACCTCCCCCGAGTGTCTGTTTAATTTGCAAAGCAGTTTTGACTCCTCCTAGGGGGAGAAGCACCATAGGCAGTACATGTAAGCCTGGTATGATTAATTCATTACAGCTTGATCAATAAAGCTGCTGCTCTGCTGATGAGTTTGAGCCCCCATCCCAGCATCTCTGTTTCTCCCTCCATCCTGCCCGTCACTCTTTCCACCAGGCCTTCTGCCTGTTCTCCCCATTCCCCCACCTATCACATCCCACTTCTGTCTGCACTTTTGCCTTCTTCCCCTTGAACCTCGTGACAGCTTCCCCAACGTTCGCTCTTCACTTCATCCCCTTGCCCCCACCCACCTGTCCCTCATGATCCAGATGCTCCAGCCTGGTCCCTGTACCCACCCTTCCTCCGTGTCTTTCCCTTTCCCCTGCTCTCTCTGGAACATCTGCTCCTTCTCTAAAAATATCACCCCCATCCACAGCCTCTTCATCGCCCACTCCCTTCATCTCCCAGCACTCCTAGAAACCTGGATCCTGCTGACTGACACCAGCTGTGTGGCTGGGCTCTCTTTCTCACACACTGCACCCTGGATCACCCCCAAAGGTCCATGGCAGGAGTGTTGGACTCCTCCCATCCCCCATCATTCCGGCCCACAAGCTGCGGTTATTTTGGATTCCTCCCTCTCCCTCGCCTCACACACTTGGGCTATTTATAAATCTCACTGCTTCTTCCTCCTCAGTCTTCAGCAATTTTACCTCTAACGCATCATCTCGCCTTTGTATTAGGATCTGAACTTTACCTACATAGGGCCTGAGAACCGGCAGACCTACACCAGGGACATGGAAGAGGAAATGCAGATCAGATTAACAAAGCAAAAATACTTCACAGGTGAAAGAGAAAGTGAACCTCTCTGGACTGCCTTTCTGAGAGCAGGTAAGCTCAATGGGATGCTGCTTTGTTCCATGGTTCAATGCTCCTCAGTGCTCCTGGTTAATAGCCGTGTCCTGTGATGTGTGCACTCAACCAGCAGTCACAGGTTTGCTGTGGACAATAATGTAACGCAGTTGACCATACCCCCTGTGGTGTGGGAGGCTCTCTATACATGTATTTCCTGGTTTTCAGAGGTTAAAGTTTAGCCGGTTTCTGGATGGGCAACAGACAGCACTGGACAACCCTAATCCTGCCTTAAAATTTGCACTAATCTGGAGTGAGTGTAAAAAAAAAAAGTACAAATTTCAGTGTCTTGATATTCTAGAGGGGGGCAGTTTAGCCACCTCTCTGTTCTCAAGAGTGTATAAAGCATTTCTTGCTTGGTCACTCAGATTTTGGCTATGAACAATTGGACCAGCCCCAGTAGCAACAGACACATGTGGTGTGGGAATGGGAGACTGAGGCTTTTCCTTCAATCCATATTAATAACTGTAAGAGATGTCCTGCTTGAGCCAGGCTTTGCTTCAGCAACACTTCCAGGAAGCGAGAATCAGTGGATGGATGTTTTGGTCTTATTAGAGCAAAGAGAACAATGGGGAAAATAATCCACACGTCCGTTTGTATTTGAAATGTATTATCGATCCAGCCATGTTTGTGGCCCTGTCCTGTTAGCTTTCCATCGACTACTGAGCACAGAGCTTTACTAACAGGAATATTCATGACAAATGAATGTTTAGATGACTCTGAATTGTAGGTTTGATTGCAATGTTTGAAAGTCATGCTATATGTTGGCTAGTTTCATAAGCCATCCAATCAGAGAATAGAAACAAGGCCACGTGGCTTCAGTATCTTTCCATGCTGGCATTCATTTCAGAGTCCAAATATTGAACACTCAGGAGGAACTCTCTGTGAGCTGCTGAGAGAGAGAGAACTTCACAAATAATTTTAATCAATAAATAAACTCAGGAACGATACAGTAGGCTCCAGTCCATCATTGTCCATAACTTTTCACGCCCCCAGCCCCTCTTTCCTCACTTTTATGCTTTGTTGGTCACTCCTCCGACTCCACAATCTGCTCCACCTTTGACTCCCATGCCCCACTTTCCCCATTGTAAATTTCATCCCACCAACCCACAGCCCTGGTCTCATGTGGGTGGACATGAGAGAGAGTGCCATGAGCATGCCAACTTCCTCCACTACAGGGTTGATCTCTCCTCCTTTAGATCTGCCATCTCCTTGTTCAAAGAACGACACCTTCCTTCCTCATCCCCTACCAACAATCTCCATCATTTATTTGCAACATTTAACTCCCTCATTAAACTCACCCAGTGACCTCTCTTCCCTCTCTGCACAGGATCTTACCAGCGTCTCCACAGAGAAACAAACTTGGCCAAAATATACCTCTTCTTCTTCCCTCTCCCTGCCCAACCACCACCTCCTTTCCCTATCATTGGCCTTGAAGTCTCCCACCTTCTCTCCATGACTAACTCTCCATCACTTGCTCCAATGGCCCTGTCCCTTCCCACCTTCTTACCTCAACTGTCCCTATACTAAACCCCCTCCATTTCCCCTTTTCTCAACCTCTCACTGGCCTCTGGCTCCTTCCCCTCACAATACAAGCTTTTCACGGTCTCTCCTATCATCAAACACCAGCCCTCGACCCTACCTGCCTCTCCAACTACTGCCCCATCTCTCTCCTCTCCTCCATCTTTAAACTCACCAAATGGAGCTTGAAAAGAGGAATTCGATCCATTAGTTGTTGACAGTCCATCTTGGACTGTTATTCTCTGGCTCCCAATGTTTCCACTCCACTGAAATAGCTCTCATTAGGATCTTTCATAGCCCCTTTCTCCTCAGATCTTGGGGTCTCTCTGCTCCAGCCTCATCCTTCAACCTCCCTGCTATTCCTGAAATTGTCAATTCTCCTTTCCTCCTTGACAGCTTATCCTCACTGGGCTTTTGAGACAGAGTCCTCTCCTAGGGCAGGGGGGATTCAGGGAGTTGAGGTAGCACAAGGCAGTGGAGATATCGGTGAGAGAGGAATGGTCAAAGAGATGGGGAAACGGGAGAAGCCACAAAGAGGAGGGGCAGCTGCAGAGCTATTCCCCAGCTGTCTCTGCAAAGAGCTGAAGCATTTTAATAGCAATCTCAGCCCTTTGTCCACCCAGGAAGGAGACACTGATTGCGGGGCTGGGCTGTCCCTCAACATGTGTAGCTACTTGGATTAGCTGCTTTCGCCAGGAGGTGGGGAATTGGGGAAGAGTAGCCAATCACATGGGGATTTGGGGGATTTTTTCCATAAATGGTTTCAGAGTAACAGCCGTGTCAGTCTGTATTCGCAAAAAGAAAAGGAGGACTTGTGGCACCTTAGAGGCTGACCAATTTATTTGAGCATGAGCTTTCGTGAGCTACAGCTCACTTCATCGGATGCATACTGTGGAAACTGTTTTTTCCTACCCCCTACCCCCCCAGACGTTCTGGTTAAACTTGGATTTATGCTGGAAATGGCCCACCTTGATTATCATACACATTGTAAGGAGAGTGATCACTTTAGATAAGCTGTTACCAGCAGGAGAGTGAGTTTGTTTGTGTATGGGGGTGGGGGGGTGAGAAAACCTGGATTTGTGCTGGAAATGGCCCACCTTGATTATCATGCACATTGTCGGGAGAGTGGTCACTTTGGATAAGCTATTACCAGCAGGAGAGTGAGTTTGTGTGTGTGTTTTTTTGAAAAAAAGGTGGGGGGGTGAGAAAACCTGGATTTGTGCTGGAAATGGCCCAACTTGATTATCATATACATTGTAAAGAGAGTGGTCACTTTTAGATAAGCTATTACCAGCAGGAGAGTGGGGTGGGAGGAGGTATTGTTTCATGGTCTCTGTGTATATAATGTCTTCTGCAGTTTCCACAGTATGCATCCGATGAAGTGAGCTGTAGCTCACGAAAGCTCATGCTCAAATAAATTGGTTAGTCTCTAAGGTGCCACAAGTACTCCTTTTCTTTTTCCATAAATGGGTGAGGAAAACCTCTAGTCTCTGGGAAACCCATAGAGATGCATCTCTGGAGATGATTAATTAGAACGTCATGTGTCTGGTTCAGATCTGATTGGCTATGAGTGCCCGCTGTGGTGTGAGAGGACAGCATAAGCAGACAATTATTCAGCTAGAGGTTTGATTCACTTATTCTTTTTCCTCTTCCAGGGGATGTGGAACATCCTGCATCAGTGTCTGATCCTCCCACCGGTTAGTCCATCCTTCAGGGTGTGGGGAGTTGTCCTGTTTGCAGCACAGAAAGTAGAAGGAAAAGACGCATTACTGAGACAGTGGCAGAGCTAGAAAGGGAACCTAAGAGTCTGTGTCCTCCCTGGGACTAATCCCTAGAACTACCCCCTTTCCCCACTCAGCCCCCAACCTGCTCAGACGTTGAAACAAAATCCCAAACTCCCCAGACTCCCCAGCCCTAGACAGCAGAACCTCCCCGACCATGGGTGGATTCTAATCCAAAACAGACGTGAGGGGAGCGCAGAGGCACAGAAGTTTGTTCTACATAAGGGTGGGGGTGGGGAAGGGAGGGTACCCAGGCTTGGGTGGGGGCATGGCTGGACTGTATGGTTTGTTTCTCTTGTTATAGGCACAAGCACAGGGAAAACAACAAGAGATCTCCTGGTAAACACCTTGGATGACTTGGGAGAGAGTGAGTTGAAGAACTTCAAGAGCAAACTGACCGACATTGATCTGAAGGAGGGATATGACCACATACCTAAAGGGAAACTGGAGAATGCAAAGTCTATAGAGGTCACTGACCTCTTGATTGGACACTACACAATGGATTATGTGATGGAGGTGACCACAATAGTGCTGGAAGCCATCAATCGGAAAGACCTGGCAAGGAGATTAAGAAGTGTAACAAGGACTGGTGAGGAATCAGCCTGGGCCTGGCTGTGCCTCCCTGTACCTCAAGGTGTTACCCCAAAATACCCATATTCACCACTGTTATATAATTATGATAAGTTTTGTACAATGCATGCCTTGCGAGATATTTTAAAAGTCTTGATCTCTTGAACATTAATATCCTGTTGGATTGTATATGTTCTCATGGTATGTGAAGTTAGTGAAGTTTTGCCATGTGCCTGTCACTGAAATATATTGTGAGGTTGGGAACACCCCAACCAGCCTTTCAGGTACAACAATGGAGAAGCCAAACAGTGGATAACGATTCATCAACACCCATCAAGGAAAGAATCCACTATCCCAGAAACTGTAAACAATGGAGACTTCTCAAAGGGATCATGCATACAATGGAGACTGCTTGATGAATGAGGACTGTCTGTTCCCAATGTCATAGCAAAAGATCTTTCCAGCAAGCTGGAAGAAACGATAAAAGAGGAGAAGTGACAAGATCACTTGGCCTTTCCCCCCTTTCTCCCAACTCAACACCTGGAGGAACATCTGGAGGACAAAGACGTTGAACTGGGGAAGGGTGGTCTCAGGCCAGAAAAGAGTCCCAGCCTGTGTATTGGGGATCTGTGACCTGTTTGTACCATCCGACAGGGTGAGACACTGCTTGATTCAAATCCTATTTAGCTTGTAGAACTCAGAGTGCGAATTTATTTTTATTTCTTAAGTAACCAACTTTGATCTCTACACTTGCTACTTATAATCACTTAAAATCTTTTGTAGTCAATAAACCATTTTTATATTTTACCTAAAGCAGTGTGTTTTGGTTGAAGTGCTTGGGAAATCTCATCTAAGTTTACAAAGGCTAGTGTGTGTCCTCTCCACATTGAGGGACACGCAGAGTGAGTAATGAACTTGCACCGAGCAGGCTTCTGACCAGTGCAAGACAGTACAGTTCTGGGGTGCATGACTAGGGAGCTGGGGGGAATTGGTTGGAGCCTCCCTATTGATGGTTCATGAGAAGCTAGGAGATCATTCATGTAACTCAGCTGGGTGTGTCCCTGCCTGTGGATGTCTGCGTAAGTGCAGTGCCTGTTAGAGGTTTGACACAGCATCACAGAGTGAGAGGGACACTCCAGAGTGGTGGGACAGAGGGCTTCAGTTGTCCCACAGTCCAGGTTGCACCTCAGGGACCCATCACAGAGGAGCTCAGCCTTGTTTCTATACAGGGAGCCCACTGCATTGTCTTCTTAGCAGAGCAGACCCAGAGGCCCGTGGAGCTCGGTATCCGGTCTCTGTCAGAGGCCAACACTGGTGCTCATTATCCACATAAATGTCTAATCCCTCTCGAATGCTGCTAGGTTCTGGGCCTCATGTGTACCTTGCGGTCGGGACTTAAAATTAATATTATTATTTTACACAAAGCCCAATTAGCTTTGATCCATTTTTAAATTTGCTGCCTTTCAGTTCAAGTGTCCTGCTGTTCCTGTAGTGAAAAAGTTTTTCCTAATATCCAACCTAAACCTCCCCCACTGCAACTTGAGACCATTACTCCTTGTTCTGTCATCTGCTACCACTGAGAACAGTCTAGATCCATCCTCTTTGGAACCCCCTTTCAGGTAGTTGAAAGCAGCTATCAAATCCCCCCTCGTTCTTCTCTTCTGCAGACTAAACATCCCCAGTTCCCTCAGCCTCTCCTCATAACTTATGTGTTCCAGTCCCCTAATCATTTTTGTTGCCCTCTGCTGGACTCTTTCCAGTTTCTCCACATCCTTCTTGTAGTGTGGAGCCCAAAACTGGACACAGTACTCCAGATGAGGCCTCACCAATGCCGAATAGAGAGGAATAATCATGTCCCTCGATCTGCTGGCAGTGCTCCTACTTATACAGCCCAAAATGCCGTTAGCCTTCTTGGCAACAAGGGCAGACTGTTGACTCGTATCCAGCTTTTTGTCCACTGTAACCCCTAGATCCTTTTCTGCAGAACTGCTGCCTAGCCACTCAGTCCCTAGTCTGTAGCAGTGCATGGAGATTCTTCCGTCCTAAGTGCAGAACTCTGCACTTGTCCTTGTTGAACCTTATCAGATTTCTTTTGGCCCAATCCTCTAATTTGTCTAGGTCCCTCTGTATCCTATCCCTACCCTCCAGCGTATCTACCACTCCTCCCAGTTTAGTGTCATCTGCCAACTTGCTGAGGGTGCAATCCACACCATCCTCCAGATCATTAATGAAGATATTGAACAAAACTGGTCCCAGGATCAACCCTTGGGACACTCCACTTGATACCGGCTGCCAGCTAGACATGGAGCCATTGATCACTACCCATTGAGACCGACTATTTAGCCAGCTTTCTATCCACCTTATATCCCATTCATCCAGCCCATCCTTCTTGAACTTGCTGGCAAGAATACTGTGGGAGACTGTATCAAAAGCTTTGCTAAAGTCAAGGAATAACACGTCCACTGCTTTTCCTCTCATCATAGAAGGCAATTAGGTTAGTCAGACATGACTTGCCCTTGGTGAATCCATGCTGATTGTTCCTAATCACTTTCCTCTCCTCTAAGTGTTTCAAAATTGATTCCTTGGGGACGTGCTCCATGATTTTTCCAGGGACTGAGGTGAGGCTGACTGGCCTGTAGTTCCCAGGATCCTCCTTCTTCCCTTTTTTAAAGATGGGCACTACATTAGCCCTTTTCCAGTCACCCGGGACCTCCCCCGATAGCCATGAGCTTTCAAAGATAATGGCCAATGGCTCTGCAATCACATCTGCCAACTCCTTTAGCACTCTCGAATGCAGCGCATCCAGCCCCGTGGACTTGTGCTCGTTCAGCTTTTCTAAATAGTCCTGAACCACTTCTTTCTCCACAGAGGGCTGGTCACCTCCTCCCCATATTGTGCTGCCCAGTGCAGTAGTCTGGGAGTTGACCTTGTTCGTGAAGACAGAGCTGAAAAAAGCATTGAGTATGTTAGCTTTTTCCACATCCTCTGTCACTAGGTTGCCTCCCCCATTCAGTAAGGGGCCCGCACTTTCCTTGACCTTCTTCTTGTTGCTCACATACCTGTGGAAATCCTTCTTGTTACTCTTAACATCCCTTGCTAGCGGCAACTACAAGTGTCATTTGGCCTTCCTGATTTCATTCCTGCATGCCTGAGCAATATTTTTATACTCCTCCCTGGTCGTTTGTCCAATTTTCCACTTCTTGTAAGCTGCTTTTTTGTATTTAAGACCAGCAAGGAGTTCACTGTTAAGCCAAGCTGGTCGCCTGCCATATTTACTATTCTTTCGACACATCGGGATGGTTTGTTCCTGCAACCTCAATAAGGATTCTTTAAAATACAGCCAGCTCTCCTGGACTCCTTTCCCCCTCTGATTTCTGATCCACCCCCCAACGCTAAACCACTGATCCCACCCTCCTGCTGGTGATTATCCATCTGTCCATACCACTGACCCAACTTTGGCTGCCTCTTGGCCTGTTGCAGTGCAGGCAAGAGCTGGAGGGATAGCTCAGTGGTTTGAGCATTGGCCTGCTAAACCCAGCGTTGTGAGTTAAATCCTTGAGGGGGCCATTTAGGGATCTGGGGCAAAAATTGGGGATTGGTCCTGCTTTGAGCAGGTGGTTGGACTAGATGACCTCCTGAGGTCCCTTCCAACCCTGATATTCTATGATTCTATGAAGCAAAGAGGCAACCAGGTGTCTGTGTTAGGCCGGCAGTGTCCTGGGAGGGTCAGTGTTACACCTAGCTGTCCTGGGCCCTGCAGCGTTAGCCCTCGCACTGCCGGTCAGCACAGCTTCTCTTCCGTAGCCTCAGACACGCAGCCAGCCTGGCCATAGACTGTAGTGGAGAACATGGTGTCACAGTTTTGGAGTAACTGTACCTTTGACTCCTCCCTTCATGGTCTGCTCCAGAAGAGCCCTCTCAGGTTTCTAGACATCACCTCTCTTTGGGCAAAGTCCAGCCTGCATGTGTTGCTTGTTTCCCCAAGGACACTGTTTTGCCAGTGACCAACCGGCTCGCTCAAACCACAGGACATTTATTTAAAGACACAAAGAAACCATATAGAATGACACCAAAAGCTAAACACATATTAAAAGTACCAGACATCGCCCATCAGCCCTGAGGACCATGGCAGGCCTCAGTCCTGCCATCCTTTCCACAGGCTTGGGTCCCCCTTGGGTAAAAGATTACGTACCTTTGTTGAATCAAACAGAAGGCCCCTCTCTCAGGGCTTGTCTACACTTGAAACGGTACGGCGGCGTGGCTGCAACACGGCTGTACCCCGTCAGCGTAGCCACTACCTACACTGATGGGAGAATCCCTCCCGCCAACATAGGTTACTCGCTGAGAGGCGGGAGCTTGGTCGACAGAAGAATTCTTCCAACCGCCTCGCACTGTCTAGGGGTGTGTCTACATATTTAGCATGCCAGCAGCACAGCTGTACCGATGCAGCTGTGTCGCTGAAGCACGTCTGGGAAGACACTCTGTGCTGAAGGTGGAGAGCTCTCCCACCGGCATAATAAAACTACCTGTGCCAGCGGCAGAAGCTATGTCAGTGGGAGAAGCTCCCCCGCCGACATGGTGCTGTGCACTCGAGCACTTATGCCGGCGTAACTTACGTCGCTCAGGGCGGGTGGTTTATTCCCACCCCTGAACGACGTAAGTTTTGCCGACATAAGATGTAGTGTAGACATGGCCTACACCAGGGTTTAGGTCGGCTTAACGACATCACTCGCGGGGGGTGAATTTTTCACATCCCTGAGTGAGGTTGTTAACTGACCTATTTTCTCATGTAGACCAGGGTTCAATTCAAGCTGGACTTTTTACACCAAAAGCCCTTCCTTTGTCTCTTTGGTCTCTGGTACCTGTTTGAACAAGTCTGAGCAAACCACCCCGGGGCTGGTACTTCCGTGAGGCTGTTTACAATCCCCGGGATTGCAGAGATCACCCCTCACCCCCATCAGTCGTTCCTGGTGGAGTTGCAGTAACCCTCCCCAAGGAGCAGACACAAGCCCTAGCCCAGGATGGTAGTTAGAACATTCATTCATTTAATACAAGATGGTTCCCAAAGATACAGCAGGCGGTTGCAATATCGGTCACTCATGAGAGATAACGACTTCTGAGCTTCCTGAGGAGGTGACTCTGGCTCCTACTCAGCTGAATCTCTAATCAACTGTCCGGCTCCCTAATCTGGATTGTTTACTTCTTCTCTTTGACTCCAGAGGTCCTGGCTGCATTGCCACAGCCCAGTCAGCACATCACTGGGGTCAGACGGGGAACTGGGGCAGCAGGGACCGAGGGTGGCTCCTGTCCCAGTGAGGGACCAGCTCTGCCCCTGGGCTGGTTCTGGTCTGTAGCCCATAGGGCTAGCTTGCCTTTATTATATTAATCAGTAATGCAAGGAGCCTACAGACCCGTATCCTGTGAGACATGAGCTTCAGCAACTTAGCATAAGGCTTGAGGCCTATGAACTTTGAACAGATAAACAGCCCAACGGAAACCCCAAGTATTGGGGAACTGAAAATAGAGGGCTTAAGGGGAATTTCTGACCACAGGAACATGAGTCTAACCACAAAAGTGTTATCGCAATGAATTGACATACATAATTGTTATGAATTGATGTAACATCTGCAGATACCTAACCACAAAAAGGCCATGGCAAAGAATTGACGTATATGATGATAAGTTGAGATCGTTAATATACTAACCTATAGGAGAATAAGATTCCAACATTAGTAAGGTGAGGAAATAAAAATAAGAAATGGGGAAAACCCCCTACTGACTA